CCAGGCAGTGTGGATCCAAGTGCCTCCCATATTTACCATTGTTGAGGATGCATGAGGTCACCAATAAAATCAAATATTCGACCTGCCAGATAGGCTTGGTCTAGTATTCCCACACCCTAGGGATTACTGTTATCATCCTTTCCAGGGGCTGCTGTATTCTCTGATTTAGAACCCAGGACTGTACTACCAGATTCTAGGTCGGCTCTATGGTCTCATACTTATGTTTACCTAGAATTGGACACTTGCCTGTCTCCTCTGGACACACCCCAGATACTGCTTCTACTTCCTTAGACAGGAAGACTCGCACCTGCAGCCTGCTACTGAATCACCTCATCTTCAAAGCCTCAGGTCTCTTTGGTATCTGATTACCTCCCCTGTCTCCTCCTGGTCTGGCTGGCTGACTTCCTATATGACCTCAAATGCATATCTTGACTTCAGTCATTGACCTTTTTATTGGTTGTTATCACGCGCCAGGCTCTGTGCTAAGGACACAGCGCAGCAGGGAGAACAGAAAGATCCACTCCTGGCACTGTGGTTGTGTGGGATCACAGTGCCCTTGCCCATCCTTCCCAGACAGGACAGCAGCATATCACCTCCCCTCAATTAGAACATCCTTCCCTGAAGGGTACTCTAAACTTTTCTTTATTCTAAATTTGATCACCCAGTCTCTCCGTGTTCTTTGATGTGCTGAAGGTTTAACGGTGCCCAGAACTCATCCTCATAGAAGCCAGTTTAAAAGAAAATCTTGGGATCACTGAGTCAAAGATCCACAGGAAGAAGAGCTGTCTGTCACCAAGCCCCTTCTTAAGAAGACAGAGCACTCTGCTCTGGGGCTTTGCTGTGGTGATGTTTGTTTTCACTATCTAAATGTGTGGCAGGAAATTTGGCAGCTCACCTTTGTAGATCGTTTGCATGCCACTTACGTATGAGCCAGATGGTGCCTCTTTGTTTCAAGAAATGAAAAATGAAAAACACTATGCGAAGTGGTTTATCTCTATCGTTCTTCCTGCCCTCTAATGTATACCCTAAAATCCTCACTGAGCAGGTGTGCATGTACACACACACACACACACACACACACACACACACACACATACCCCTAGATTTTCTGTGTTATCTGCATTAGGAATGAGAAGAAAGCAAACCCTTGGGCCCTGTAATCAACAGTAGCAGAGAGGTCCAAACATTCCCTGGGAATCAGCTTGCAGAGAAAATCTTTCACAGTATTTTCTCCATCTGAAAAAAATCACTGTGCTCCTCGGGGCCTAAGTCAGTGCACACTGAACGACAAAGTCTTGCATAAATCACCCAAACAGGGGCTAAGCTCTAAGACTCATGAGTGAGACCATGTAAACACTAACCAGAAAAAGAAACAAGATGTGGGGCCAGGGATTTAGCTCAGTGGCATAAGTGCCTGCCTGGCAAGCACAAAGTTGTAAATTTGATCCCTGATACTTAAAAAAAGAATAAAGAAAAGAAAGAAAGAAATAAGTGTGGTGACCTAGTATTTCTATGTAAGTTGAAATCTTAAGAAGAAAATTATCCTGAGTTGACCAATTTAAAGACCTACCCCTTTGGACCAGTTGTGTGTTCCAGTGTATTTTCTCAGTGGTCAAAAGGTCTCTCTTTCTGACCCAGAAATTGTGTCTGGAAATCAGAATACCTCCAGAGTACTCTTATCTTGGGTAGGTAAAAAGCACATAGGAAGATTAAGAAAAAAAAAGCATAGTTTACCCTCTGAGTAGTGTATTACTGACTCTTTTAAACAAATTAACTTGCTTAACATCAACAAAACAAAACTCTGTTGAGTAAATATTTTTGTCCTCGTTTTTAAAGTAAGAGTTTGAATGGAGCTTAGGGACACGGCGTTGAGATTACATGACAACTAATGACACTCAAGCATCAGAAAGTGAGCACAGGTGAGATTATGCCCAAATCCAAGAATTTCCTTGTCTTCCCAAAGTCTCCAAGATAAGGAGACTTCAGGGTACATAACTGTGAGCTCAAGGACATTTACCGAAGAGTGCAAAAGGAGGAGCTGTGTTCACATTAGGATGTTATGAGGTCCGTGAAGATATGATATAATCTGCTCTTTTATGTTTATATTATACATAAAGAGAATATACTATTTCCACACCAGCTGCAGAATACTCAAAATGCTAAGATTTTACTCCCATTGCTAGCCTGTCTTTTCTCATTTCACCTCGGAGCCAGAGGCATATGTTTGCAAGCCAGCTGTGCTCACCTAACAACCTGGCATAGCACTCACGATGAAAGAATGGAAGCTACCCGGGGTGCAGGTACCCCCCATTCCCTTCCCCTTCCTTCAGTCTGCCCTAACAGCTATGCTAAGTGAGATGGGTTTAATCCTTGATTTTTTCCCCCCAGGAGTAAAGAGCAACAGCTTATAGCTATTAAAGCAAGGACAAAAACGTATCTTTCTCCTTACTCAGTTTTTTCTTTAAACCAGGACCAAGAACTATTAAGTGCAAAGCTACAAGCCTCTCTGAAGGCTCAGTTGGCACATTCAGACACGGTTTCCCAAGACCCTGGTGAAGCCAGTAGAGACCACTTTGGCATAACTAAATATCTGCCTTTCACAGAGAAAAAGAAAACAAGACTGAAAAACAGCGAGCCAGTCCTTTCATCAACACCACCATAAATCAGATTTCAGTCCGGCAAACCAGCAAACCTTACTAGACAGAGTGCAAAGGCATTAAATGGTGCCAGCCCCAGCTCAGCACTAAGAAATCCATGACCCACGGGCCCCCTTAGTAACCACACCAATGCCTCTTTTGGAAACAACTGCTATAGATGCTAAACAAAGACTCCTCGTTGATTATTTCCTGGCAGGTCTGCGCTGGACATCAGTCTATGGCTCTTGCCCACTGTGCTCTCTCTCGTTTCCTACAGAAGCTGCCCACTCTGCGATGGGCATTCCACTTTCTCCACCTTAGGTCTGCTTTGCCTTAGGTATGCTTATCATGGTGTATCATTTGCCATTTTTTCACTGTACCATGAACAAATCACTCTGCAGTTGTAAAACACATTTCTCATACATTCCCTTTTTCTTTGCTAAAATGAAATTCCTTGAGTGATCGGTTTTAACGCATGAATGATCTTGTTTAGGCAGAGCCATCAGGAGCATGCAGATAGCCTGCTCTGCACACTAAAGCCAACCCCCAATTCCTAGCCTCCTGATCTGCCAAGCTCAGGCAATAAGACAGTTACACCGGGGCTCTTTGGATCACATATGACCATTTATTCCCTATGAATAAAATCAGACAATTTGCCTTTTCCCTTAATACAGACTGAATAAACTGTGTTAAACCTGACTGCCAAGTAAAGGCTGAGGGACTTGGAAGGTTGACTTGATCACGAAAGTGGACCTGTCATGAATAGGATTTGTGCCCTTTTAAAAGAAGCCTCAGTGAGATCCTTTGCACCTTCTGCTGTGTGAGGTTGCAGTGAAAAGAACGTCATGTCAGAACCAAGAGCCAGGCCTCCATTAGACCCAGAAGCTGTCAGAGCCTTGATCTTGGACTTCCAGGCTCCACAACCATGAGAAATAAAATGTTTATTGTAAGCATCCCAGCTCAGGGCATTTTATTATGGTAGCCCAAATAGACTACAACACCCTGATACCTTTAAACCATTACCTATCTCCTTCTTTATACTACCTGTCCAGATTCTTTCCCCAGATGACATCCCCAGAGTAAATCTCTTCCACCTTATACAGCAGCAGTCCCCAACCTTTTGGGCACTAGGGGCAGGTTTCATGGGAGACAATTTTTCTGTAGATATGGGGTGGGGTGTAGGTGGGGTTGGGAAGGCATCATTTCAGAATGATGCGAAGGAGCGTGCAGCCTATTTCCCTTAACACACCTGTTACACTACTGCTTGCAGTAGGGTTTGTGCTCCTGTAGGAATCCAATGCCCTGGTGATGTGAGAGCAGGCGAAGCTCAGGCAGTGATGTGACAAAAGAGAGCAGATGCAAATACAAAGAAGCTTTGCTTGATCAACTAACAGTTGCTCGCTTCCTGCTGTAGGGCTCCAGTCCTAACAGACTACAATCTAGTACTGGTCCGTGGCCTGGGGCTTGGGAAACCCTGTTTTAGAAGCATCTTCTTCTCCATCAATTTGCAGATATTATCTCATCTCTGAGTCTCAAGTGAAACCTACATTTTCCTGTCAGGGAAAAGTGGCATTCGTAACTATTCACCCTTTCCCTGGCAAGAATAAGCCAGAACCACTCAGTGATCCATGGGAACTTCCCAAAGTCTAAAGGAAAAGGGTTCAGGGAGCAAAATAAAATCCTATTAACATGAAGTAGACAAGTGTCTGGGAGGAAAACTGAGTATGTTAGCTCCCCTCATAATTATAATTTTTTCCCTAAAATCTAAACTGCCCTTTCTCCAAAGCTAGAAACTTATAAAATGCTTTATTTCCTCATCTTTGCAAACACTAAGATTTTCTGCTCAGTAATATATTCACCATTTCTGATAGTTTACTTTGGGTTCTACTTTTCATGAAGATCTACCTTTAGAAACATGATTATCCTCACATACTCACAAGATAATTCCAGGGAATCAAATGTGGCCAGAGTAAGATTGGATCAGAGTCTAGGTGGAAAGATGCTAACATATAGCACCATGCTGGACTTGTGTGGGTGGGAGTTTGGGCATATATATATATACAATTCTGATTGCATAAAGAATGGACATGAGTGTAAGTAAGAACACAATGCACAATGCACATGTTATTGGAATGTACAGATACAGCAGTCTGGTCAGATGTCCGAAAAGGTAGCTTGCCGAGACAATAATAAACAGGTGTGTTAAGAAGCAGGAGCAGCCAAAGGATGATTATTGAGTGCATGTCTGTGCAAGCATGAGTATATATATGCACCGCAGTGACAGGGTTAATGGACAATGACAAAGACCTGTAAGCAAGGTACTAGCTCTGCCACTGAGCCCTGCAGCTGGGAAAGTCACCTTACCCTGTAGTAATCGGTGCTGTAGACATCTCTGGACATGCCAAAGTCTCCAATCTTCACCAGCAGGTTGGCTCCAACCAGGCAATTCCTTGTGGCCAGGTCCCTGTGCACAAAGTGCTGGGAGGCCAGGTACACCATGCCCGAGGCGATTTGACTGGCGATGTGGAGCATTTGAGAGAGCCCTAGCTCACCCTTGGCCTGGCGTGGCTGCCCATCCACAAGGATCATCGCATCCGGCCCATGGGCCCTTCAAGGAGGTGGGAAGGAGAGAGAGGGAGCAGAGAGAATTCAGGAGATCAAGGGAAAAGGCCTTGTTGGTTCCCAGTACTCTGGAACGCCCCATAGAAATGAATGAAATTCCTCTTCCCATGTTGCCTATGGCCTATTTCTTTTTACCCAAAATTACACTGAGTGTGGGGGAGGGTGAAACTCTACAGCCAGATCCCCAACTAAGCTGACAGCCCAGACACACTTGAAAGGAACCGAAAATAAACATCATATATATATATATATATATATATATATATATATATATATATATTTTACTGCTTACTATGATTTTCCCAAGTGTTAGATATTCATTATAGAATAATTAATAAAATGAAAACTAACTCCAAATAGCCCTTACTCTGTACCAAGCACTGTCCTGGTTGTTTTAAATATAGTCAGTTCTTTCTACCCCAATTTTGAAATAAAGAAACTGAGGCACAAAATGATGAAGTCACTCACTCAAAGTCCCCAAGGACCCAAAATGGATGTGTGAGTAACCACCTGTGATACAAAGGGGGCCTCTAGGAGGGTTTAGAACTTCTGCCCAGGAGCTGCCCCTGGGTTCCCATTGGGTAGGCAGGGCTGTTCCCACACCATCCTAGTGCTGGTGCTCTCAGGGGCTCCCACATCTGCACAGTAAACAATAGGACACCCTCGAATCCATACTTCCAGCCACCCCACCACACTTCTAAAGACCAGATCATTGGCAATAGCAGCAGGAGAGGATGGAGGGACCCTGCGCTTCTGAAGCAGAGGCCTGGAGAGCCCCACACCCTTTCCATCCCAAATCGAGGGCTGGAATTGTTATCCTAACACCTTGCCCTGTCATATCAGTCATTTTTAGTGTTCACTCTTTCCTCCAGAAAGCCCAATGAGCCATAACCATGGCCAGGGCTCTTATTTATGAAGTAGTGGGCTAAGGGGCCCTGGTGTACAAAGCCTGTTTTACTGCTTCTCCAGTGTCCAGTGAAAGGCGCCATTAAATATGAGCGCACTCATTTTATATCTCCAGTGGGCTCTGCCTACCACACTACTTGGACAGAGAGCTGCTGTGTCCATCAACGAGGGAGGCAATCAGCAGACAAGACCCCTCCTGTGCACTAGGAGAGCTCATCCACCTGCCTCCACACATGGCCACCTGAGAAGGAGGGAGCAGGCAGGGCTGGCCTGGGACGAGCAGCCAAGAAGCCAGGTGCCCAGAAGGGTTGGGTGACCTGTGGCTAAGAACTTCCTGTGTTAGGGTATTCTGGGGGAACTCAGCCTTGATTGGCGGAACCAAGGGAGACAGCATCTCCTGGGAGTCTGGTCAGCCAATGATACTGCAAAAATATCCCAGGAAAAACGTCCCAGGAAAACTGTTGGGCCTTGATTTGGACAGACTTGGCCATGATGTTTTTAGGAAGGAACCCAAAAAGTGACACAGAGGTCTCTTGAATGTCAGGAAGTCCCTGCAGAACTGTGCTCACATGCAAGCCTTCCTTGTACTTGTCTGTCACATGTGCCACAGATGTGGCTCTTCAGCTTCTGTGTTGCCTTCTGTGTTTGTTTCTGTTTTGTTTTGGGGGTTTTCCTCTGTTTTTCTTTTTCTTCTTTTCTGTTTCTCCCACCTCTTGCCTTTACTCTCATTCCCCCTTGTGTCTCTCCTTTGTATTCTTTTTCCTTCCTCTTTATACTGAGTATGCTCGTGGAATAGGGAGATACCCAGGAGCTCTCTTCTACCCCGCTGGTAGCACCTGAGAATGCTGGATCTATGGAGAGAGAGTGGGGGGACTCTGGGACATGTTGCTCTGACCTCAGAGGAACAGAATCACCAGGAGAAGGAGACCTTGAGTATCGAGAAAATACTTCCAGAGTTAGAAGCTACTATGGCTCATAGTTTTCAAAGAATAGCAATAATTTTATTATTAATAACTTTCATAGTAGCTACCATTATCTAAACACCTAGCTACATGCAGAACTCAGCATTGTACCTGTGTGGACAGTAAACAGGGCAACAACTCTGTGCAACAGTTACTGATAGTTGTGTCTTTTAAAAAAGAAAATAGAGGTTTTATAATGTGCCCTAGTTATAACTAAGATGTAACAAATCTACTGGGATATAAACCCAGGACTGTTTTATGTTAAGATCTGAGTTCTCCAGGAAAGAAATCAATTTTCTTGTGAATGCAGGGTTGGGAGGTACAGAACACGCTATAGCAGATACTTTAAATTCTTCCAGGACTTTTTTCTTTAGAAATCCATTTCATAAGCAGAGGTCCAAAGACTCCTCTAGTCTCTCACTTGATATCGGTTCTTTCCATTCTCCCTCAGCACTCTATTAAATGTTTCACTTTGAAGAGATAGTCATTGGATTTTTAGCAAGTAGGCTAGAGCCTTCCACTGGAAATCCCATTCTTAGCCATGGAACTCGGTAGGATCCAAATAGTCCTGTAGCAGAGATCACACTCCAGGCGTCAAGGCCTGAGTGTTCAGCCTGCTTCTTGAGCCCCTCACACAAGACCAGCCCACATGTGAACACTCCCGGGGAGGTGGCAGCTGTGGCAGCTGCCCGAGGAGGTCCTAACTCTGCCCTAGGGGTGAGATCCTGTCTTCTCCGGAGAAAATAGATCCACCTTGCAACTGCATCCAGAGCTTTGGCTGGGGCTCCAGTCTTTTACCAGTTCTATCGTGATCCTCTCAAAGTCCAAATAATCTTTCTCCAGGCTTAGAGACCATACATTGATTCTTTCTAGAATAAGGTTATCCAAATAGAACATTCAAATGATGGATTTATCCAGACTTTTCCCTGCTCAGTGTGTTAGTTACTACCTACTTGTGGTTACCCAACTCTTGAAATATGGCCAGTGAGACCAAGAAAACAAACTGCCAATTTTATTTAACACTGATTAATGTAAATCTGTGTTTAAATAGCCACGTGTGGCTACTCTACTGGATGACATAGTTACAGAATTTACTCCCAGAAAACTTGCTCCTTTTTTTTCAACCATTTCTGCCTTCTGATGAGTTTGTAACATGTACCTTACCATCCATCATCAAAATGTCTTTGGCAAGAAGGTTATCAGGATGGCTGTGAGACATTCACTTTACTTTAGAAGTGAGGCATTTAAGACACAATAAAGGGCAGCTCTCTGCAACACTGGGGAAGGATGACTCTGGAAACTTGGAGTCGTCAGACACAGGCTGGAGGGCGCTCGAGATTCTCCCAGGCACCCATTCTAGACCAGACTCTTCTAAGCCCACCTGAGAACCAAGAAAAAGGGTGTAGGCCTCTTAAGGTAAGAACAAATGCCTGCATCCAGCTAAGGTGACAGAGGATACACATCTGAGAATGTGTGTCTCATCCTGAGATTAAGAGCACAGAGGGGAACGGATGACTTCAGAGAAAACCCAGGGGCTTGGTGCATCTGGGGTCAGGGATGGAGGAGAAGACAGCATTCTTGGCTCACCTGAGGAACTTGTTCAGGTCTCCATGTTTCATGTACTCAAAGACCATGATGAGGGGGTCCCCATCGCCACACACACCATAGAACTTGACGATGTGCTCATGCTGCAGGTTTGTGAGCAGCTCAGCTTCCCTCTGGAAATCCTTCCGAGCGGCCAGGGTGGGATCCTTCAGAGCCTGAGAACAGCATGACATCAGCTCTTAGCAACCAGAGGGCAGGCAGCGGTCTTCTGTACTGTTGGAACTGGCTTCCACATTCTGCTGCGTACCCAGTAAATAAGATTTGAAACAAACTTAAAGACAGTGAAGCTAACCCGTATTGCAAGGCCTGCCCACTTCCTCCTTCAGTACTTTGATCCTAGTAGAAAGAAAGCCACTTTCTGACTCCCACATTACATACATTGCCCAGAGATGTCAAACTGTGCCCACTCCTGAGCTCCAGGCTTCCACCTCAAACTATGTCCATCTCAGAGCCCCGAGTCTCCTCTGAAGTGTGAGTGACGGGAGACCAGGGCAGGAAGTGGAAAGCCTGATAGGAAGTGAAGATCCTGCTCTAAGTTTCCTTTAAAGAAATGGTCCCACTGTTAAAATAAATAGTGCAAACACCAATGTTCCAATGGCTTCACCTTGTAAACTAGCACACACCCATAGCCCACCAGATCAGGCAGGCAATGTGCCTCAGACTTCTTGTCTTCTCAACCTTTGATTTTCAGTGGCAAATGAGTTAGTATTTGTAGAAAAGAGTGATTAATTTGGGTTCTGGAAGACATGGTGTACTTCTATCAGAGATTTGGAGGTAGCACTGGAGGTAAGTGGAATGGTAGCTGTGGGAATGGCGGTTAAAAGACAGAAACTCTAGATACACCCAGAAACAGGGAGAGGACCACAAAGTCCCAGTGCAGGATCAGAAGGGTGGGCGTCCTATGGCCACCAAGATGTTCTTGTGGACGAGAGGCTGGTGTGAGAGACAAGCACACATCAGGCTGCTTCCTGATTCGGGAAGAATAACACACCCTGGAAAAGGGTAAGCTGCCAATGTGTTTTCAGCACCAGAGAGGGACATGAAACCCAAACTGTACTTTGAGTGCATCTGTAGGCACTGCCCTGGGAGTGGGCGGTGCTGGCAGGATTGACCGTGATGTGTGCAGAGGAGGGGGCTCTCTGCCAAGGAAGGAGCCTCTCCCACAGTTTAGTAACCTCAGCAGACACAAAGCTGACAATAAGGAAGTGAATGTGAAATTCCCTTACCATTGTCAGGTTAGCAAAGATCTAGAAAGTATGGAGAATGGTTTGCCCTCTCTGCTGGCATCTGGTCTTTTATGATTAGTCGGGCTGACTGACCTCCCTGGAGGACCTCCCCCAGCCTCCTAGGCTGAGAGCCTTCTCATGTCACTGCAGCTCCATTAAGTAAAATCTATAGGGCCCTCTGGATTCCAGTCCTGCAATACTGTGAATCAAGATGCATCATACTTCATTATTGGCACACCCTAAGGAAGGAGACTCAACACAGGAAGGGCTCTAAATGCTACCTACTCCTTCCTCCCTGCTCCTTTGTGGAGCTGGAGCAGGCCTCTTTGGTAGTCAGCCCATATTCACACATCTTAACTTACAGAAAGCTACAGTGACTATATCAGTGCTCCGCTAGTGAGCTTCGGGGTTCTAGAGTCCTGCCCTGCAGGTCAACTCCCACCCAAACTTTAACCAACAACATCTCCTTTTTGTTAAAATTTGGAAAGTTTCACCAGTGTTTGATTAAATGACACTAATTACAAAAACTGTGACTGTTATTCTAGCATAATTTTCCATTTTACCGATCAGAAAACTGAGACCTGGAAAGGGGAAGTGGCTTGACAAAGATCGTGCAACATGCAATGGCGTGGGTCTGGAGTTGAGGATAATTGTTTGCCCAGCATACCTGTCTGAATTAATTTACCAAAGGAACTAGTCACTAGACAGATCCCTCGGAGTACAATGAAAAGATGAACAGGGAAGAGTGTGGGGAAAAGTACAGATATGGGCCACCAGCAGAGCAACTGGGTCCACGGAGGGAAGACAAAGGGGAGAAAGTAAGTAGGATAATTATACCAGTTCATAGTTGATTCCTATTAGAATAAATTGTACACAATTGTCCGCTTCAGCTTAGGAGGCCACCCTTGAGAAAAAGGAAGAGCTGTTGTGTCCACTGACTGCCAGCATGCAAGCCACAGACCCACGGATAGGCAGCCTCTCTCAGTGACCCAGCTCCTGGCCCCAGCTCCGAGCTACATGGGCTGGGCATGGGTGTAGGATGACGGGGAGTGACGTATTTATTTTCACGTAGAAGAAGGCACAAAAGGGTGGGAGCACCCAGCTTGGGTAGGACGGGAGAATATAAAGATTTATGCGAACACTGGATTTATGAGAAGGAAAAGTAGATCAAATTTGGGGCCAGCCAAATGGCCTCTCTCCATCTCTTTAAATCACTCTCCCGCAGTCTGGACACTGGAGGCAGCTGTGGGTTATTTCTGTTCTCAGCTCCGGAGCAGCCCCGGCCAAGGTCCCCAGGCTGGCACTCTGTCCTGCAAGGCTGACTTGAGCTCCTCGTCTGAGAGCTGAAACACAAAGCAACTCTGTTTCTCTGGGTCTTCCACCCCTCTTCTCTGCCTGAACACTCAGTTTTCCATCTAGTGGGTCAGGCCTGAAGTTCTTACGTCACTGTCAAAATGTGGGGTGTAGCAGTTGGGGTTCCAAACTGCAAGTGGCCATAATCTCCAGGGATTGATGCAATTGGGGCCAGGATGGCAGGAGAATAATGAGGAGGAGAACTGGGCCAACAGATCTCTTGGCCTTCACAGGGGAGTCCACAACCAGGACTTTCTTCATTACTGGAAAACGGCAAGATGGGTCACCAGTCAGTGGGCTCAGACAGAACTGGTATTTCTCAGAATCACCAGCTGCTGGTGGAGGTCCAGGGTCTTGCCAAGGAGTCTCTGAAACAAGCAAAGCTCCTGAGCCTTGCACGTGGGCAAACAGGAGAGCTGAAAATGGCTTCCTTGTCTTCCTCTTTTTGCTCCAAAGCTGGAAGACACTTCCCTTTTGGTCTTTCCCTCTATATGCACCTGCACCTGCAGGCTGGACTGCAAGAACACCACCGCTCACAGCCCAGCACTGCCCAGGTGAGCTCCAGCTTTCTCTGGTCCAACCCAAGGCTGCCGGCTTCTGCTTTTTTTTCTTGTTAGGAGAAGGTATCTCAAGGGACATTTGGCTTCAGATTTCATTACTGTCTGAAACCAACTTCATTATATACTGAGAGTGAGGCACGTTTCCAAGTATTCAAACTCGTAGAGGTTCAAACACACGCACACACGCACGCACACACGCACCAATCAAGTCCTGTTACTATGAAAAACACTTTTCTTTTAATCTCTCAAAAGCCCCTCTCTCTTTCCTCTGCGAGATTTGAAAATGAGCCTGCAGGAAGATAGGCAGTTGTCACACATACAGGGGTCCTTTCTCATTTGTCCATCTGGGTTAAAATTTGTCTTTGACTTCCTATTGTTTTCAGATAAAATTTAAAGTCTTAAACACAGGCTAAAAATATGGCCTCCACATCTCTCTCACCTCTTTCTCCCTCATCCATTATATTTCAATCTCCCTGGTGTAAAAGTCTTTTGTACACATTAAGTTTTTATTTTTCTCAGGGCCTTTGCACTTGCTGTTCTTTTGGTCAGAGAGCCTTCAACTATACCTACCATTTATTACCCCTGCAGAAAATACAGACCAGTGGATGAGACGCTTGCCGCTTCCTACTAGTTAGAAATCAGAAAGATACTTTTGTCCCAGACAAGGCTTACCAAATGTTGGTTCACATTATCCCCAAATTCATTCATGACAGTTAAAGCTGTTAATGCAGTCACATGAAATGTTACAGAAACCAGTGAAATGTAAGTGAAGAGTGGGCGGTTTTTATGGACCATAAGATGCATGTTTTGGGAAGATCTGTTAAAGAGCAATAGTCAAAAACACTACTAAACATGGAGAAAAAACATTAAAATTTGAGAAAACAATAAAAAGTTGAGATTTTATCCTCAGATTGTTTTGCAAATATTTTAAGTTTCTGCTCCAATTGAAAGCAACTGTAACTAGCCAGGCAGGGAGAAGCAGGCCTTTAACCCCAGCACTCTGGGGGGCTGAGATGGGAGGACCACAAGTTTGAACTTCACCTAATCAATTTAGGGACTTAATGAGATCCTATCTCAAAATAAAAAGAGCTGAGGATAGAGCTCAGTGCAAAGACACTGGGTTCAATCCCTAGGAAACAAACAAGCAAACAAAAATCTATAACTAGAAATCATAAACACTATAAACAAAGACAAAACAGCCCTCCAAACTCAGAAACTGAAGTTCTGACTTATTGGAAGAATGTAATGTTAAATCCAAGTGATTACAATAGTCGATAACCAGAATGGGAATTTCCTACAGATCAATACATGTGAGACAAATGGACTCATAAAAGATTTTTAAATAAGTAAATGCAGCCAGGGAATTAAGAAATAATTACTTTTTAAAAAATGGGAAAGCATGCAGTAAGAATAGGAAGAAATAAAACTAAGATAACATAAAAATCACAGACCAATTAGATATCCTGGAAATAAACTATATGATTATCAAAGCGAAAACCTCCACAGACATAAAACACTCTAGAACAGATAAAATCACAAGAAGAATCCATGGTAGGAAGTGTGATGAGCTTCACCCCAGACAGACCAAGGGCACACAGAGAAGGAAGACAGAAAAAAAAGTGAGGAAGGCCTCATTCCCCTACCTGCAGAGGAAGTTTACCTGGCTTTGAGAACAATGTAAGGTACTGTTTGTTAAATGATTATTTGAAAATGGCATCAGCAATTTAAAAATTTTCATGAATTCTGCTACACCTACCCCAGGACTTATAATGGTTCTACTTACAATTTTTCAACATCTCAAAGGCTAAAAGGACCTGCCTGGAGAAGACACCTTCCACTGAATCTTGATCTTGTCCTGGATTAGCAAATGTGATCAGGCACTCACTGGTGATAGCGGGGAGTGGCGGCAGGGACCCACCATTTGCAGGCAGCCACATAATCACAGGAAAATCAGTGATACTCTCAGTCATCATGTGACTAAACTGGTACTCAGGTGAATCGATTATTTTTAATCTAAGGATCTTTCCAATTTACCGTGGATTTATGAGCACACAGCCTCACTTAAGAGGCACCTATATTTTAATGTCAAGCTCTTACCACACATACACACAAGTTATGCTCTGTCTTGTCCGATTCCCCATTTCTTTCACAAGATATTCACCTTGGCTTCCCAGTGGGCCACAGCGCTTTAAAAAGAGAACCTAAGTTTCCACTCCTTGGCTTCCACCACAGCATCTGCTGGACAAAAATATTCTGGGCAATTGATTTAAAATCACAATTTGGAGAAAAACTTTGAGTGTAATCTGGAGTTACACTTGCAAGTGTTCTCTCTAAGAACCAAATGTCCCTACATAAATACTGATCAAAAAGAAAGGATTGCAAAAAAATGAGAAAACTGTGGAAAGGACAGGGAACAGGGAAGGCCACTTCTCTCCTTGTCCTGAGAGGTGGTCAGAACCCTCAGGGCTGCTCACTGGGAGAATTCAGTGGGTAGAAAATGGTGTGAATTCCCAGAGTGCTCCTCTCCTCGAGGTTCCCAGGCCCAGGAAGAGAAGGAAATCCTTTTCAAAGGATGCAAACAGTAACAGATTTTTTGCATTATCCAGTCTGGGTACCACCACCAGTGCCAGACCACTAGGGGAAATGTTTCCTGGGGTTTTGGCCATCATCTAATTTCCTGCTCAAATTGCAAAACTGATTCACTTGCCAGTCCCCAGACGGAGGCTGGAACACCCAGTAGATTAGCGTCATCCTACACAATAAGAGCGCAAGGATAGACTGATTCCCACTTCATGAGCAAAAATTAGAAACATTTCCACATCCCCGATCCAAGTTATTTAAAGATATCCTTGCTTCTTTGACCAGCCCATGTCACTGGAGACACAATGAACAAACCCGTTCATAGGAGTGCAGCAAGGGCAAACACTGGCCTTGTGTGGGCCAAAGCTCTAGCTTTTCTTTATTTTCCAAAAGACAGGTCAGCAACTTACACTGCTTTCATAAAAAGTGCTGTTAGAAAGCAACTGATTTTACTGGCTAACATGGTTTATGCTTCTTTCTCACAATATAAACAGAGTTGAATAGCTGCAATGGGAAGTGTATAGTCCTTAAAGCCTAGATATTTACTCCCCGGCTCTCTGGAGAAGTTTGATGAGCCCTTACCACAGTCTACTCAAGCTTCACACGCGTGTGTGTCACTGTCTCACCACAGTCTGTAACACCAGCGTCAGTTATAAAGATTATGATAAAGACAAATAGCAACTGCTCTACATTGAGAATTTTCTATGTCCCAAACACTAAGGATTATTAGATTATAATTCCTATTATGCAGATTAGGAAACTGAAGCCCAAAGAAGGTAAATGCCCTGCAACTGGTCACACACACACCAGCAATGAAGCTGGGATTTCTACCCAGGCTCTCTGATCCTCTTGCCAGGCCTGTGCCCTGTAAGTCTCTGCCTGCATCCATTGCGTGACTCAAAAGCACAAAACTCTTTATGACTACTCAACTCTGCCCATGTGATGGAAAAGCAGCATAAACAATACATTAACCAGCAAGGATGGATGCTTTCCAACAAATATTTTACAAAAGCAGATATAGATTGCTGACCTCTGTTCCAGAAAATAAAGTATTGCCTCATAAAGGTGAATGATTATCTTTGCTTTATGAAAATGCCTTTTTCATGCCTTCAAATGCTGCAGTGCTAAGGATGAGACCCTTCTGAGCCCCAAGAGAGATTCTTCACAGGTGATTGTGTCTCTTGTCCCCAGCCCAGTGCCAGCCCACATCCCAGAATAGTACACAGACTCTCAGTTCCAGTCAGGAAGGTCATTCAGGCTCCTGAATCCAGAACAGACCTCCAGAGACTAATAGGGACCCTAGGAGCTTACAGACTTCCTGTTTGTGTCAACCATGGCCAATGACCTGCTTAGAACCAGTCTAAAAGAGAAGCTCATCACTGCTGGAGCAAAAGTGGAGGAGGCAATTGGCAAAAGCAGGCAACTCAGCTCTAGATCAACTCTAGATCGGTCCTCAGGCAGTGGCCCCCAGGCTCCTGGGACAACTTTCCATCACCCAGCCCTGCTCCTGCAAAATGGTCAAGTGTCTTTCACAGTACACAGAGCACTGTGAAGGGTGAGCTGGGACCTCCAGAGAAAAACCAGGGCCTTCACCAGGATGCCTTGTTCCCCAGACACAACTTCCCAGAACCTTTGACCTCCAACTGCAAAGGAAGTTGATTTGGATCCATTTGAAATTTTGTTGACCTTGGAGCAAGCAAGGTGCTACTTGCATTTGAGAAAGCTGATTTTGCACTGTCTTCTTGAATGGAGAATGTGTGAGGCTCATCCTCTGCAGCCTAGGCCCTTGACATGCCCACACATTCCAGGATTTACCTTCACGGCCACGAGCATCTTGTCCTTGGTCGGGCTGAGGTTGTAGCACTCAGCCAAGAAGACCTTTCCAAAAGCTCCCTCGCCCAGTTCTCGCTTCAGCACGATGTCCCTTCTCTTGATGTGCTGCACATCTGCAGTGGCGACAGAGAGGAGGCAGAAGAGTTAGTCCTAGGTTCCTGCAAGGACAGAAAGGATGTTGGGTGCTTGGGAGTCCATGACAGGGAAAGCACCCTAGCACCCTGTGCAGCATGGAAACTGGCTTCACTTTGTGGCTGCAGGGTCTGACCCAAAACCAAGCTCAGCTCTGCCCCTGCTCTCTTGAACCCACAGCCTTCTAGGTGAGAAAACGGAGTTGGTGGTAGTTAATGCACACAACTCCTGTACAAATTAGCTGGAAATGAACACACTCATGGCTGTTCAGATGAATCCTGGAAATATTAAGATGCAGATTCTAATCCAGTTTGTCTAAAAGTTTACCTTTCCAACAAATTTCCAGGTGATGTTAGTGTGCTCTGGTAGCACTTTGAACAGCAAGGTTGTCAAGATATGATGGAGAAATCAGTTCAAATCATGACACCATTCCCTTGCTATTTTCTTTTTAAATTTCAGAACTTATATAGCCTCAGAGCCTTTACTCATCTGTAAAATGGGAGTAGCAACATATCTCTCTCTCTCTCTCTCTCTCTCTCTCTCTCTCTCTCTCTCTCTCTCTCTCTGTGTGTGTGTGTGTGTGTGTGTGTGTGTGTGTGTGTGTGTGTGTGTGTGTCTTCCTCATCTTTTCCTAACATAATGGCTATAACAACCCCAACAGAACTTGGTCTGTGATAGAAACTACGAATTGGCAGCTAAAAATTATTTCAGGGAGACGCTCTCCTCTGCCAATACCTCCTCTCTTACTGAAAATACAAATGGCAAGTTCAGAGACAGCCTGGCATGAAAGAGAAGCCCTGTACAAAGAGAAAGGTTGCCATGGCCTCCACTAATTTAGCAACCTAATTAAAGTCTGTCTGCCAGGAGAAAGCAGAGCTGTGACCTCAGTCCTCTTACCTCTTTGGAAAGAATGCTACCAAGGAACCATACAAGCAGTGGGGGCTGGCAAAAAACCAGGCAGCTGTAGATTACTCACTGACCTTTGCGTTAATTGTTCAACAGACAGAAGCCCATTAAATACCTGTATTAGCATTATGAAGAGCTTTGCAGAGCCAGGAGAGGGGATTGTCTCAAATGACCTTGTTGGGAAACAAAATCTAAAGATAGAGGACCTTGACAGACTGACCACATGGTCAAGCAGCCATGTGATAGGAGGAGCATGGCTGGAAGGCTCTCGGTTAGCATCTCAGCAAGTCCAGGGATTCCTTTCCAAATAGACTACACAGAACATTGCTTTTTCATATCAAAATTTTTGATACCCTGAGGTATCCGGATGATCTGCCTTGCAACAATTTGTGGGCGGACACACTAGCAGACTATTCTGTCCTCTTTCTGTAGACCAACAGCTGCTGGGATAGCTCCTCTTTAGTCATAGGGCTCCAACGAGGCTGCCACACACTGCAGAGCTATGGCCCAGTCCTTCCAAAGAGAGGATTAAAAATAGGCTCCCTTCTTCACACCTTCTGTCTCACTTTCCCAGCCTGTAAAGCATGGGATTTGTTGGCCTTAAAGCAGAAAGTTAAAGAGACTCCCACTGTGACCAAATAGGAGGTCAGCACCTCTCCTGGGAGGCCATCTGCTTGATCACTCCCAGGTGATTGGTGATGACACACAGGTTCCTGCAAAGTGAGTATCTTGGCAGGCCAAGGAGTGGAATTGAGGCTGGTAATTACAACTGTTTGGTGCCGAGCCCCAGACTTGGATACACAGGTATGATGAGGACCAGGGGCCCTGGCCCCTCCGTGGGCTTGCTCACTGTACAGGATGTCTTGGGTCTCAGATTCCTCACCTATATGATAGCTGTGAGGGATAGTGCAAATGGTGCCCACTTGTTCCCTGTGCATTGTATACAGAAGTTCACAGAAGTCTAAACTCCCCATCATGTAGATGCAGTAAAATTTCACGTATATCTTATTGATATTACTTTGTAGCAAGGTGAAAAGAAAGCCAAGTCAGGCCCTCCACCTAGTGATTAGGATGGGCATGGAATCTGGAATATAAGAACAAGGCAGAGTGTCCCAGTGACCTGGGGAAAGGCTTCCTTCCTCTGAGGCCCAGAACCCACCCTCAGCCCACACTGCCTCTGCATTGCATAGAAGAATGGTCTTCACACTCAAGAGTCACCTGGGCCATTTTTAAAATAGATTTCTGACCACTACCACCACCCCAAAGAGTCCAACCCGGGAAATCCAGGTGGGGCCTGAGAATAGGCATTACTAAGTTCCCGGATGATGTTGACATTGTTGGTTGAGGAAGCACACTTTCGAGATGACTGAACAGGACTTTTCTGTTGGATGAAGATCAGTCAGTTGTGGGAAGCTGTTCACCTTCACAGCTTGGACTTATCAAATCTTGGGGCACAGATTAAGTCATACCTTATGGCCAGGAAACCAGGAGAAAGAGATTTCCCAACCCTCCTTCTGCTCCCTGAGAGTTCACAACCCAGCAGCAGCCATGGAGGCCCCATGGCTAGTGGTAAGAGCTTGAACACAGAGGGAGCAATAGACCAACCACATTACAGATAACAGTGAGGAGCTTGCCTACTCTTCAAATGCACAGGATAAAGGCTGGGCAGAAGTCTCTCACACCAAACTGCCTCCCCAGCTATGCAAATGAATCTTTGTCAGAGACAAGGAAACCCTCCAGTGGCTCAGAGAAAGTCACTTGGGCTCATACAAATTGTCTGCAGGTTGAAGGGATGTCAAGATCAATCCCTGTTCTTGGTCATGAGTAGAGTAATGAGTTCTAAGAAAGATCAGAAGAAAACAAGGACTCCATTCCACCCTGAGTCCTCCTCAAGAGGAGAACTTGTGCCCAGACCAAGAAGTTGCACAAGGTAACCAGGGACACCATCATGGAAAGACTGCCTTGGGATCAAACTCATAATGTAAATAACTTCCATTCAGACAGCCCCTATTCCGGGGAGATGCTAGACCCCAAGATAACATCTGAACACTTTCTTTCTTTGAACCTGTAAGGAAACAGATTGAGCATAGGGCTTTAATGTGCACCCACACTTACAATTTGTCCGAGACTGATTCTCATAATGACCCTGAGAGTCAGCATTTTTGTATCCATTTGACACTTGAGAAAATGAACACAAAGCATAGCCTTCCAAATCCACAAAGGTTAAAAGCGGCCAGGGAAGGACTCTCGTTGCATGACTCCCAAGCCTGTGTTCTTTCCTTCACTGCACCCTTCCTTGCTTTAGGACCACCAAATGGTCCTGCCCCCAGATGCTCAACCCTACACATTCTACCTCCTTCCACTCCTAACAATTTTCTGTTGTCCTACTCAGCCCAGAATCTTATTACTGCATCTTCCCAAGGGAAAGGCAGGGACTCCCCATTGGAGCCAGGCTCTGGGAAGGAGGCAGTGGACCAGCAGAGTGTTGGAGGAAAAAGCTCTGCGGGCCTTGAGCACTGGCTGGAGTAAACCATTTTATTTCTGATGTCCACATGTCTCTTTGGGTCCTGGCTGTGCTTATTTTTAGCTTACACACTGCTGTTCAGAAATGCCTCTGGAGAAGCCTCCTGACCTACATGCCAAAAAGTGATGGATTTTCCTAGTAGGAGGGGGCATCAATCTCCTTTTACTGCGTAGCTGGCTGGCCCTGCAGAGTCTGGGTCACAAAGCTCAGACGTCGGGATATTAGAACGAGGAGAGGAGAGAGGAGAATCCGTAGTCCAGACCATGGGAAGACCTCCCAGTCTCTAGCAATGAAGGGGAGAGATCAGAGAGCTGGTACAGAAAAGGGAAGGATCTTTGGGAAATGAAAGAGTTCCTGAGATTTTGTGCACTAGCTCTCACAAAACTCCTTTTTGTACTAAATGGGTTCAACCACCTGTGTATCTTCTGATTCCCACAGGATAACTGGTTCATCTGACTTAAATACAGAATGAAGATTTCTACACTTCAGTTACTGCTCCAAGAATTGCTCTGCTGTAGTGAGGACTGAGATAACTGTTCCATATGTGAGAGATTCACTTCTGGGAGGTCTTCCAGGCCTGCAGCAAGCTTGACCTACAACAGGGCCACTCATCCAGCACAGTCCCTGGGTATTGTACAGAAGACCTCAGCACCCTGCAGGCCAGCAGGCAGGCTGGGGGGTGCCTTCTCCTGCCTCTGTTCACCTGGGCTGCCACATTCCAGAGTGGGTGTGGGGTGTTGAAGGAGAGTTTTCTTCAGCACTTTGTGTGACCAGCATAGGAACTGGACACTTGACGTAGCTGGATACAGAAGTGACCACTGTCAACTTTACCTGTCTGTTATAGGAGAAAGAGAGGCAGGAAGGGCCAGCTTGAAGAGGTCAGGCCTGCTGAAGAGGGATGAAAAGAGAACAAAAAATGCACCAGACTTGTGGTACAGCTGAATGACTGTGGGTTTTGAAAAATTACTCCGTATCAGATTCTTGACCCACCACTTACTAATTGAGTCCTGTCATCTCCAAATCCCTAGATCCTCACCTATAGCATGGAAACAGGGATGCTGAGTTGGTTGAACTGCCAAGTGAACTGATTTTAAATGTCTGGGTAATCAAGATGACATGAAATATCTGTAACACAGCCAACATTTAAGAGATGCGGTTCCTTCCTTTTCTGTTAAGATTTTCATTCTACGAGCTCAACCTATTTGCAAAAAGATAATGGCTTGGAAAGGAACTTGGAGAAGGATGATGATTTTCTGCAGAAATAAAACCGTCTGAGGTTACTCAGGGGTGAGCGGGCACTGACTCTGGCGTTACCAGCAGTCTATCTGAGGCTGCCACCATGAAGTCTAACCTCCACCTTCTTCAGAGTTCAAAATAGTTGTGGGAGGAGGTTGGTCAGACAATAGAATGAAGATATTGCAAGGCAGAGATAGCCAAGATACTCAAGATCGGTATTGATCAGCAAAGAAAAGCCAGCTTTTGCAGGGGAGTTGGTTATAAATAATGGTGGCCTGAGTGCTGTGTGGCAGGCTGCAAACTAACTTTCCCCAG